CTCCAGTATGCATTAATTAGACAACCAGTATTATAGAAATGGAAACCCCTTACACATTTTATTAACTTACTATATCTTAAAAACATTCCATCTATGGACAATTTTTAGCGATAATTAATCACTGTATTTATCTTGCATATCTATGCCCCCATTTTTTGTTGGGGTAGATTTAGATTCGCACTTGTCCATCCGTGCGTCCGTGCGGTCTCATGTTGTGACAAATGTAGCTCTAAACGTGCTTGAGCTAGAGTCAACTTACTTTACAGGAATGTGTCTTACGTAGCTCAAAAAATATTTGACCTAGAGTCATAAAACTTTACAGGGTTGTTGGTAAGCATGTGTAGTTGCATATTGAGTTTACTTATTTTTATTTTCTTTTAAGCAAACTTTATGATATGAAATTTAGATTTGAAATTCTGAATAATGGGAAAAATCAAAATGTCAACATAGGAAAGATTAGATGTCTTTTTTGGTCCAACCACTGAAAGGTTTGGGGATTCGATGTAGAATATCCTGTGTCTGTTGTAACTTGTCCTGCTGTCCGTCAGTAATCTGACAAAACAGTGGAGTGTGGGAGCATCCGTTGTTGTACATCTACATTTTCAGATGATGTAGAAGATAGATTTGTGATCCACTGAAATATTTTGATTTCAAACAGTTATGCTATACTTGCCATTTCTATATTCCAGGGAACAGTGTTTAGACGTGAACCGTTTGACCCAGAAGAATCCGCTGCTATACTTAGAAAGGCAATGAAAGGGTTTGGTAAGGAAGCTGTTCCCTTATCATAAAAGACGTATTAATATTTTAAATAAAGACGATGTTAATTGCCATGAAGCAGCAGCAGCAGCAGCTTGGCGTGCAACTATTGTTCCAGTAAATTATTTGTCAATACATTTGACTATCTGAAGGACATTTTTTTTAAAAATATAAATATGACATATCACCTTTACTGTCTGATCTAATGTTTCGAGGTTGTCACAATCTTTAATAATACTTATATATTAATTTCAGGGACAGATGAAGATGCAATTATAGAAGTTATGTCAACACATTCTTCGGACCAGTTAGCAGAAATAATTCTAGCCTTTAAACAACAATATGGAAAGGTAGTATAAGAGAGAAATTCATGTATTTAAAAACAATTTTGTATGAAATAATTTTACTTCAGTCTTCTGTTTACATGACTTGACGTGTCTACAAATAAAAACAGATTGTTTTGTTAACTGCATGTATTTTAATTTTCTATTTACTGGTAAATTTAAAATTCGTTTTAAAATGTCATCAGACGATCAGCAATATTTTGTTTGATCATGATAAGGATGTAAATGCTTTGTCTGATCCTTTAAGAGATTATTGTTCATACAGTAAAATAATTATGGTGTGGATAATGAACACTCTCAATGGAAATATTATTCACAACACCAATACAAATACTTCATGCAAAGATAACTACATTGTTTCACAATTATTTTTGGAAATATTTACCTATATATCTTTATTGTACTTTATCAATTACTGTAAAATGACCATATTGTTTGGTGTTTTTTTTTTTATTAAATACGAGCCGTGTGTGCATGTTCTTTTTTGCTTTTTCATTTGTCTTATGACCCTCGGTAACCCAGGCTTTTGACCGTATACCAGAATTAAATGTATATACGAAATGTGTACGGTGGGTTCCGACGATGGTGTTAATACGAAATTGACACCGTTTTTTGCACACTTAATTCCTGGTTGCTCGGTTTTACAAAAATATGCTTTTGAATCAAATAACATTGATTTTTTTGTGACCAACATTTTTTGTTCTTTATATCCGTCTAAATGTGTAATATCCTTCTTTCAACAGGACTTGATAAAAAACATTAAGTCGGAGATTAGTGGTCACTTTCAAAAGCTTGTACTGGCTCTGTTCGAGGACCATCTAGTATATGATGTAAAAGAAATCCATCGTGCAATCAAGGTAGAATTGAGTCTACTAATTGAATTTTCGTAACCTGTTTCAAAGGTTGATTGTCTTTTTTTCGCATCATTTTATAAACGTCTGTTTTAAAAATAATTCTTCAAATTGCAGTACTGTAGTATTTACAGAATACATAAACAGAGATTGTGTTACATGTTTTATATAGTTACGTATTATAAACATTAACCTGCAATATATGAGCCGTGTCATGACAAAACCAACATAATGGGTTTGCGACCAGCATGGATCCAGACCAGCCTGCGCATCGGCGCAGTCTGATCAGGATCCATGCTGTTCTCTATCAGTTTCTCTACTTGTAATAGACTTGGTAAGCGAACAACATGGATCCTAATCAGACTGCGCGGATGCGCAGGCTGGTCTGGATCCATGCTGGTCGCAAACCCATTATGTTGGTTTTGTCGTGACGCGGCTCATATATATATAAAAATTAGCAACGCGGACTGGTCATGAAAGTCTGAAATGTTCAAAACAAATCTTGCATATAATCGGTAATTAGAAGGGAAAGGCCAACACGGCAAAAATGAAAATATTGCAGGATCAGCACGGTTTTAAATATTTTTTCAGGGTTTAGGAACAGACGAAAAGACGATTCTTGAAATATTATTGACAAGTGACAATAATGAAATAGAAGAGCGTAAAGAAGAATACAAGAAGCGTAAGTTAATAAACACTCTTTGTTGCGTATTAAAATCTCCCATTTCCAGATGTTTGTCATATTAACAAGAAAATATATTGAATGTGGTTTGCGACCAGCATGGATCCAGACCATCCTGCGCATCCGCGCAGTCTGATCAGGACCCATGCTGTTCGCTATCAGTTTCTCTACTTGTAATAGTGTTGGTTAGCGAACAGCATGGATCCTGAACAGGCTACGCGGATGCGCAGACTTGTCTGGATCCATGCTGGTCGCAAACCCATTATGTTGGTTTTGTCATGACGCGGCTCATTTATAATGGGAAGTTTGTGTTTTACTTTATGGCACAAAGAAATGTAAAAGAAAATAATTGGATGTGATATATACATGAACAGTAAAAAAACGGACTTAACCTTTTTTACCATCTTCCTTTCTGATAGTTTTGATATAGTATATTATATGTATCATCATTTACTTCTTATGCAGTTCGATAATGTGATGTAAATGCAGAAACAGACACTGTCAATAATGTTCAGTTTTATTTTACAGAATTTAAGTCTGATCTGGAAAAGGATCTAATGGGTGACACAAGCGGACATTTTCGACGTTTACTTGTATCAATATTGACTGCATATAGAGATGAGAGTGAAGAAATTGATGAGGACCTGGCGATTACTGAAGCACAAGAATTATATAAGGTTTAAAATTTTTTGAAGATTAAAAGTGTGTGTTGACTTTTTATAGTTTATCTATGATTTGTATAAAAAAAATTAAGACATACACTAGTTGGCAGTAATTTAAGAGTTTGTGACAATTTCTTATTGATAACTTATATAAAAAATACGAGTGACATTTATTGTAACAAAATCAGTCATACTTTGCCATATAAAAGAATTAAAAAGGACGCTATTGAGATCCAAAGCTTAAACATATAAAACTTATATTTCTTGAACAGAATAACTGTAGCACTTAAAACATCGAGATATTCTTAAGATATTCAAGAATATGCTCAGATTTAAACTGAAAATCTTATCTTTTGTGCTATTGTTAGCCAGAATTTTGTAGAAAAAAAACACAACAAAAAACCGTTTAAACTATTCACATTTTAAGGTCAATTTTCACAATAGTAATAATTATTCTAGAAAAACGGAGTGAATTTCTAAAATTTTAATAGACCTAAATCAAATTATACAGATTTTTTTTAAAAAATATTTCCAGTCCCGTTATGTACAAAAGCCTTAGTTGAGTCCATTTAATTTATTAAAATCAAAATTCGTCAACACTTCAAGTGTAAACGTTAGGTCTAATCAATGTTGAATATTGGAGAAACAACTTCATCGAGAATTGATATAATAAATAAAACAATTACAGACGTTGTATAGGCAGCTTTTGATAGTTTCTTCCTTCATAACATAACCCATAGTTTCTTATAAATGCATACTAACAAATAGTTATCTCCCTTAGAAGTCAAACTAATTAATTTGAATGTTCATAATTACAATTAATCATACCATTTTTAATGTTACATGCAAATCGGTTTATTAAAAGAATTTACATCTTAATATTAACATTTTACACATACGCAAAACCCCATATTTTAAATTACCTTTATAAGGCAGGTGCTGGCAAAGTAGGTACCGATGAGTCAACTTTCAACCGAATATTTTGTACAAGGAATCACTTACAGTTAATAGCAACATTCAATGCGTACCAGGCTATTTACGGGAAGGACATCGAGCAAGTGATTCAGAAGGAGTTTAGTGGAGCAATACAAGATGGACTTGTTTCCATAGGTAACAATAACTATTAGGTTAAGCAATACATTAAACTTTGCTGTTGTCTAATTGTTATTTTGAACGTAGTCATTTCAAAATTAGCAACAATCTTCCTGAGAAAGAAAGCATACACTTTATGTAGAGGGATAACATGTATTTTGTTTTACATAGGAATCATCATGAAATTCATTTAAATGCAAACTTATCTCACTTCCTTGAGGAATGCCTTAAAGATTGTACATGTACAAAATTTAAGTAACGATTCTTTGATCGTGAAGCTAATTACTAGAAATTTGATTTTTTTTCTGAAATTGATTGCTACTGAAATGTTTTCTCAAAAAGAAGACAATTTTATTATCTCTTATCTAAAATACATGTTGTGAAAATGTGTAACATTTCTTTTTTGGTTTTCTATTGTTTTTAGTGCGAATAGTTCGTAATACTCCGGCGTATTTCGCAGAGAGGTTTTATAAAAGTTTGGAAGGTATTGGAACGAAAGACAATGATCTGATTCGCCTTGTTGTAACTAGAAGAGAGGTATTACCACTAGATTATCTCATTATGTATCAAACCAATTATAAATACCGATGACAAATTTAGTTATTTAGCACCAACCAAACCATAACATAACATACTTATTTATCGGATATTGTTTTACATAAATACCGGAAGAATGCGTTTTTTTTTTACGACAAAGTATATGTATGTGTGGCCTTCGTTATTATATCATTGTATTTGAATATATCATACTATAATTGCAATGTGATACCACACTGTATTCAAAATAGAGATATCATTCCTAATTAATTAAGGAACTGTGACCCTTCTGAATTTACTTTTTTACTCCATTATTTTTACTGTTTTCCAGTTGGATATGGAACAAGTCAAATACGAATTTCTGAAAATGTACGGCAAACCATTAGAAAGTTTTATAAAGGGTGACACAAGCGGTGACTATAAGAAATTGCTTCTTGCTATTTGTAAGGAGACAGACGTGTCTGCTGTAATGAAGATGAAGCAGATGTCAATCAGCGAAGAGAAGATTAAAGATTACAAACCAAAAAAGGAAAAGAAGCATAAAAAAGGAAAGAAAATGAAAATCAAAATGAAGATAAAAGTAAAAAATGGAAGCAGTGATGAAAGCAGTGGTTCTAGTGAAGAGGGATCAGAAGAACATGAATCTGAGGAGGAACAAGAAGAAGGAGAAGGAGAACCGGAACCGGAAGAAGAGTGTGAAGAACCGGAAGAATGTGAAGAACCGGAAGAAGAATGTGAAGAACCAGAAGAAGGAGAACCGGAACCGGAAGAGGAATGTGAAGAACCGGAAGAGGATGAAGAACCGGAAGAAGAAGAACCGGAAGAGGAAGAAGAAGAAGAGGAAGAACCGGAAGAAGATGAGGATTAGAACAGACACGTTGATATCTTAAAAATTGCGAATTCCTGAATAATAAAATGCTCTGTCTTATTTTATTAACCCATTACTTCATGAGGATTTTGTGAAAAATGACTATTTTCATTGAAAAGTCTCCCGTTACAAGTTCAAATTGCTATTAAACTATAAAAACTGCTTCAATACTAATCAAATTTGGCACAAGCGTTGACTGGACCATTGCCTTTTCAACAACATGTTCAGACTTAAATTTCCTGTTCCATGGCAACGAGGGGACATCTCAAAATTGCCAAACATCACTATTTTTCGTAGATTTTTTCAATCAAAATTTATTTCAAAGTGCTGCAACTTCTCAATGGATTGAGATTGAGTCAAATGCTTTTCAGCGTTAGTAACACGTTACCTTATGATATATCTGGGGTCTAAGTCCAAAATTTTCTTGGCGATGAGGGGGACTGCCGCCCCCTTCAAACCCTCCAAACAGAAGGGGGCACATCCCCCTTCTGGCAACACTTGATGTATCTTTTGGTTACAGCCGAAAAAGTGGTCACTTCTTTAAACACCATTTCTCAAACAAAAACAAGTGTTGGGGGCCTAAATAAGGCAATTTTTCACCATTTGAGACAACGAAAAGGGGGGTGACTTCAGATAAATCAAAAGCTCTATTACAGCTTCATTCTCAAATGAGGGTATTGATTTCGGTTAAAAATATAAAAAAATGTCTAGTACATGCATCCATTAAATGGATTTACATGGATGTAAGAGTTATATTTGAAAAATGTCATCCTCTTTAAATGGTTCTTTGTTTTAACTTTACTTGATTTATGTATATAAAAGTAAACTATTGGAAAGAGAACAAAAAAAAACCAAAAAACAATTTACACATTGGAAAACAGAAAATTACCAAAAAGAGGTAAAAATAAGCAAAAAGAAAAAAAAAGGCTATTTTTGCGATAGTCACGCAGTTGATATATGGTGATAAACACAACAAAATCGGTCCTTAATCGCATATGGCATGCTAATACTACATGAATATGAAAACTTTTACTTTTCTTAATATTTTAGTACTTTTTTTCTAAACTTTAATTTTCTTGACACACAAATATAAGGACGGAAAATTGCTATTTGATAAAATTATTCTATTGAAGTGCGATCCGTTTTCGTGTATATGCATTATCTTTTATTGCTTTATTGTTTATTATATATATTAATCATGATAATAATAAAGATAAAACAATTAAAAGTGTAAAATCATTGCGTGTATAGAGGGTATTGTACAATGCTATTTACATGTATTTATTATTTATCTCGAAATAAAGTGTTCATGTTTATGTTTTTTTCTGATTGATTTCAGAGATGCTGATGTTACAGAAATGCGGATTGACATATGAGCCGCGTCATGACAAAACCAACATAATGGGTTTGCGACCAGCCTGGATCCATGCTGGTCGCAAACGCACTATGTTGGTTTTGTCGTGACGCGGCTCAAATATTTATTAAGGTATACGACTTATTCTAGCCTGTATATAACCGTCAAAACCCAATACAAATTATGCGTGTAGACTTAAAAAATCGACGTGCTACTTTTTTTTTTTTCGTAAGAGGTAACTTCAATGCCCAACATTTTAAACCAGCATATAATTATATTTGGGTCTGGTAAACTAAAGATTGTTGGTCACGTGGGTTCAAACCCCGCCAAGGCAAGCCGTTGTATGTTTGAGCAAGAAACTTTAAAAAATTCATTGCTTAGTACTGTTTATAGTTTCAGAAACAAGACAGTTTTCAATAAGCTTATAACTTTGTATAAAATTAGTATCAATTATTAGTATAAATCTTAAACCAACATTTGTTAATTAAATTACTAATCGGTCGCTTCGGAGTATTCTGTTATATTATTATATTATTTCTGTAAGTATCCATTCCGGTCTGTAGTACATGTATATTTATCCGTGATTTGTTTGTTTAAGAACAAACATGGTCGTCATAACATGTCATATTTCTGTTCATACTGTACATTCATTTTTTCACCCTGAATTCAATTAGCAGAAATCGTATTTAAAGCAGTGTCGATGAATAATGATAAGAAAATTTGTGTAACGAAGCGCGGGAAATCAAGCGATACGGACTAATGGCCGACGAAAGTGGGTATGAGCATGTTTGTTTTCAAATAATTGTTGTCTATTGTAATTTCTTGAAGAATAACATTGTGCATGCTGATCAGAACTTATAATTGTGCATGATCATCAAAATAAAATACTAAATTTTATAGTATTGAGGAAGTTATTGAGGTATTTGTTGCTGCAAATTCACCGTCAACCTGATATGCACATGCAAACGAATATTGATCAGTAGTTTTAAAACGAGATATTCGATTAGTTTAAGTCCCAACATGTTTATTTTTGATAACAAAACGATATAAAAGAGTAGTTTTCCATATCAATCCGAAAATATATACTATATTTCCAGTTTTCTCATTGTACGTCTAATATTTAGTTCGCGATAAACCAACTGTACGCACAAATTTTGGTGTGTATTTCTGTAGCGAGGGGGACTTTCTCATTACAGTACATTCTTATTCAATATTGATGAAGTATTAAGTTTTGTGTTTCTATGTTAATCATGTTAATCACAGTGTCAATTAAAACAACAGTCTCAATTGATGTATTATACTATGATATAGTTAAGGTGACAACAGACACTTTCCGTAGTACTCACATAAATGTCATTTAAACCAACTTATTTTAGTAATAATTGTTATCTATTTAATCTTTGTGCATTAAATGTCGTTGATCATCATACAAAATAACATATTTGAAAAAAATGCCTTTGTAAATGATTGATTTTTAATAAAAATCCTAAAATTTTAAATCGTCAAATCAAAGTCATTTTTAATTTTTTTGTCATCAAACTTTTGGAAAATAAACATACTTATAATATCTGGGGATTTGTGTCTCAAATTTTTTCTATCTTTTCTCAAAAAAGTATTACGTAACGTCAAACATTTTATGCGACTTTTTTCACCATACATATTACGTAATTACAGATAATTAAGTCGCTGATTGAGCAAACAAAAATCCCTGACACGGTTCCCTCCGTAAATGAATTCCCTTTCATGTGCTTTAAACCGCATGTTAATTGCTTGATTATTAAAAAAGTTATGCCGATTCAAAGTTAGTCCGACCCGCATCAAACGAAGTGTCATAAATCGGCTGTTCCCTCTCGGACCCCTACGTTTCACGCTAAATAATTGCATAATACACAAATATCGCACCAGAGAGGGTCACAAGTTGCGGTAACATGCTCTAACAACATTTTATGACCAGTGACATCTGACCAATTAAAATGTTGTTGATTAATATCAGTCTATAACAGAAATTTCTTCAAATCTTTACGTGATTTACTGTCCGTCTGGTATCGGTCGCACATGTCACGTGACTTTCGGTAAAATTTGAGGCACTTGGTGGGGGGAAATGGAACGATTTTGCGCACCGCTAGCGGGGTATTTAATTGTTTCACTTTTGAAGTTTATTATTATTATCTTCAGCATTATTATATTATACCAGTGTAACTCTGTATGTGTATTCGTGTATGAAATTCCGTTAAAATATAAATTAAAATAACAAAAAACTGAGCTTCTGACGGTCTTTTAATGTCCATGGTAGATGTACAAATACGAACGGGATATTATATATTTTTTTCTCTAAATTGATATAAATGCTTCACATATTTTAATAGAAATAAAAGGTATCACTCGATCATTATGATCTGACCTTCATGACTTCTTTTATCATCCACGGCATAGAGATTCAGTTTCTACTGGGATATACAATAAATACCATACTTTGTCCCAGGTAGTGTTCGATTTACTGGCGAACAATTTATTCGAAGCATTAACTGATAATATATATTAATATCTTTTTTTATTGATTCATAGAGAAATATTCATCCTTAAACAATCTAAAATGGTTTAGAAATTTGTCAGGGACACATTACCACAAGTCATTTAGGCGTTCCCATAAAAATAATGTCTGTTTTTCTTGTTGTTTTACTTGACATTGTTAGAAAACGAGGTTGAATGTAAAGCAAGCCCTTGAATCCGTACAAAAGTCCATAAACTCAATGAAATGTCTGTCAGATTAACGGGACAAACAAATTATTTTCACACATTATGGATATTTTAGCAACTATTTCTTTAATAAACCCCGTGGTCGTGCGATTTGCCGCTATGCTTAATTATTTATGTTTCATACATTATGTTACGTACATTGGCCGACAATTTTTTTATTTTATAAAGAAGGCTAAATAAAAGGTAGACGAAATTCTTAAAAGATGTACGGTTTTGTACGATACATGAATTACGAGTAGTATGGACCGGTAATTCACGCATACATGTATATGGAACTACCGATTTCCCTCATTGATGCCTCAACAGGGGGCGGAGCGTTATCGATAATTGACAGGTTGCGCGAATAGCAGATAAAAATGGTACAGGTACCGTTTTAAAACGTTTAAAAACACATTTTTTGGACTAACTGCTTCCAAAATTAAATCACGAATGTGTTCAGAAAAGGTTGATAAATCTACTTAGCAAAAAATCCCATTTTAGGTATTTTCAGTGGTAATTGACTCCGTTGTCACCTTAAGTTACTGGTAAATACTCTTGCCTCACAAAGGTTAAATATCAAAATTATATAAGTTATTGCACAGAAACTTAAAAAATATATCAAATAACCAATAGTAACGATAATATTCGTTTGTTTATTCCATCTATTCAGTAAAGGTTTTATCATTTAATAAGATGTTTTTCTATTATTAATTACATATTTATGTTGTCAGAAGAAAATAAACTTTAATTAAAACAGCAACATCTACTATTGTATGACATGCACTGGTTAAAAAAAAAAAGCATCCCAACCGTTCTTAAATTCATTTAATACTTTGAGTAGTACATGCAATAAATTGTGTTGTTTTGTTTGTTTTGTTTTTTTGCAAAGGGACTTGAAATTTTATGAAGAAAACACTGGTTTGATTTTCTCTATTGATTGGATATTTTAGATTGATTTTTTAGAAAATAAAAAAAAAAACATTGACAAAAGCATATTGGCAATGAAAGTGAAGGCCTCCCCCGGAGTGTCCAGGCAGGATCCCGTCAAGAGCGCACACGTTGGGACCCATCTTTCTTAGATGACCCCTATTTATTTAATGTCATTTTAGGTCAAAGATTAAAGCCATTGTGGCACTTTTTATACTCCCAACACAAAATGGGGGGGGGTATAATGGATTCGGTTTGTTTATACCCCACCATAAAATAAGGGGGGGGGGGCGGGGGCTATAATGGATTCGCTTTGTTGCGTCGGTCTGTCTGTCCATCCGTCTCCATTATCGTGTCCGCTCTATAAATCCTATACCAATTGCAGGATTTTCTTTAAACTTGGCTTAAATGATCACCTCAACAAGGGGATGTGGAAAACCCATTTTGCCCATGTGTCACCACAAAGTCAAGGTCACAATTAAAGGTCAAATATCAAACAATTAAATATTAGACAGTATGTCGTGTCCGCTCTGAAAGTGCTACACTGATGGTAACATTTTCTTCAATCTTAGCTCAAATGTTCACCTCAACAAGGTAATGTGCAGAACCCATGTTACCTTTGTGTCGGCTTAAGGTCAAGGTCACACTTGAAGGTCAAAAATTGACTTAGAAAATATTCTTAAATATTAACATGTACTTTGAATATTTCTGAAATTAGCACAGGTATTTGCTTGAAACTTAAAAGATATATGAGGTGTCACAAGGAAGATATGCAGGTCAAGTTTCATAACTCTGTATTGCATTTTGACAAAGTTATGCCCCCTTTTTAAGTCTTTAAAATTACATATTATCAATAGTAAATAATATGTCGTGTCCGCTCCAAAAATTCTAGACTATTGGAAGAATTTTCTTCAAACTTGACTCAAATCTTCACCACAACTGGACAATGTGCAAAACCCATCTTACCCTTGTGCCAGCTTAAGGTCAAGGCTACACTTGAAGGTCCAATATTGACTAAGAAAGTTCTGAAATTTTAACATGTACTTGATTTTTTTTTCAAAAACAGAACAGATAATCATTTGAAACTTCAGATATGCATGTATACGAAGTGTCGCAAGTAAGATATGCAGGTCAAGTTTCATAACTAAAAAAAGTGGGAAGATTACTTTGTATTGTATTTTGACAAAGTTAAGTCCATTTTTATGTCTTAATTTCTCTAAATGTATTTACTATAATATTTCTTAAACCAGAACAGATATTTACTTGAAACTTAAAATTCATATGAATGGTTACAAGCAA